TCTCTCTTTTATATATATATATATATATATATATATATATATATATATCTTAACACCAACGCAAACAGCAGCAGCAAATCCCCCAGTGTGTAGTAAAGTAAAGATGAATGAAAGGGTTTTCTTGCTGCTGCGAAGGAGACAGAGAGAGCAGTTTTTGAGGTGTATGTACACCTCGATGAGGTGTATGTACAGTAGACAGCCGCATTGGTTGTATTATGTATGTACGCAACAACTGCATTATTATTTCGTATTCAAATAAAGAATTAATAATAATAATAATATACACGCTTGGGTTGAAGGCGCTGCTGCGCCTGCTTAGGGTGTACAGACAGCTTGCTGCCTTTCTTATTGTTGTTTCTGTTGCTGTTTTTATATATCTCCTTTTTTGTGTTTGTCTCTGTTGGTGTTGCTGTCTCCGCTTTTGTCTGTCTCTGTTTTATCTTTATTGTCTCTTTCTCTTTTTCTGTCTATCTTTCTGTCTCTCTTGTGCATCAATAGATACCGAGCCTATGCTCATATATGCTAGGATGCAGTGATGAAGTGAATATACACCCCACAACCCGTCAGCTTAACTGCTGCACACGAACTTAACCAGGTGTACAGGCAGCTTGATAGATAGGAAGATATATATAGATATATAGATATAGATATATAGATATACAGATATATAGATATAGATGTATAGATATATATATATATATATGATAGATGTAGATATATAGATACATATATATATAGGTGAAGGTACACGCATATATATATATATATATACATATATGTATATACATATATATATATATATATATGTTATGTTTACATGCATGTATATACAGATACACGCATAGAAATATACAGAAACAAACGTCTCTTCACACAATCTAAAATATGCATAACTAAGAATGCATAAATAGAAGAAGTAATATATAAAATATACCGTACAATAGCGTTAAAATAATATACATATATATATATATATATATATATATATTATTACTACTATATATATAATAATATCTTTAAGGTGCTCCTTTAGTGTCTCCGGGGACAAACTTGGAGAAGAAAATCGATGCCTTCCTCTTTTAGAGTTCGTTGTTTGTTCTGATGGTAGGCTAGTGTTTAGGGTTTAGGGTTTAGGGTTTAGGGTTTAGCCCTGGGGATTAGGGTTTGCGGTTTTGTTCGTAGCCGCCGCATCCTCTGCCGTCTGCCTGCCTCTAAGAGAGCCCAACACATCTATATATATAACATATATATATTTATAGTTATATATATATATAACATAAATATATATATATATATATATATTATATATTATATGTCTAGCAACATGCTGTATATCTATACATCTATACATCCGAAACCCTATCTGTCTCCCATGTATATACATGTATATATATATATATATATATATATATATA